CAAAAAAATCACTACCATCCGGGAAAGCAGCTTTGACAACCAGCTCTCCCAAACACAGTCTTCCTCCTTCCTCGCCGAGTCACGTGTTTCCCTTCGTATTTTACCCCTGTCCCAATATGGGCAGATTAACTCCTCCTCTTGGCTTTCTTTGGCTGTATTCAGGGCTCGAAGCTGTCGACTGCCAGTTGCCAGGTGCCAGTGACGTCACTACCACACGTTCGGCCCCACAGGTGACGGTGAACGGCGGGCGCTGTTCAGGCGCTGGCGGTACTGGGGACGTAGGCCTATCTCCTCGGGGGGGAGGAGGCTGAGCGGAACGCTGGTCTGCGGGCGAGAAGATGGGCTGTTACGGCCAAGGGAGAAGGGTGGTCGGTTCTTGCTCGTTCTCGCTCTTTCTCTCTCTTTCTCCCTCTTAAGCAAAAGTTTTCTTCTCTCTCTGTATCTATTTCTCTCTCTCTCTCTCTCTCTCTTCTCTCTCTCTCTCTCTCTCTCTTCTCTCTCTCACTCTCTCTCTCTCTCTCACTCGCTCTTTCTCTCTCGCTCTTCTCTCCCACTCGCCTCTTTCTCTTCTCCACTACGCCTCTTTCTCTCCACTCGCTCTTTCTCTCCCCTCGCTCTTCCCGCTCTCGCTCCTCCCCCCTCCTCTCTCTCCCTCCCCCCTTCTCTCTCTCTCTCTCTCTCTCTCTCTCTCTCTCTCTCTCTCTCTCTCTCTCTCTCTCTCTCTCTCTCTCTCTCTCTCTCTCTCTCTCTCTCTCTCTCGCTGATGGAACAAAAGTTATGAAACACACAGCCACTGGAAAAATGTGGGCCAATGGAACAAACTAGGCAATAGGAAAAGCAGGCCAATAGAACAAGGTTAGAGGAACAAAATGGGCAATAGAAATAAAGACCGTCAGAATAAGGCTAGAGGAACAAAGTGGGCAATGGGACAAAATGAGTAATAGGAAATAAGGGTCGATAGAACAAGAAGGCTAGTTGAACAAAAATGGCCAATGGAACAAAATAACCCATGGGACAGGCTGGACAACGAACCGGTCACCTGCCTCACCTCACTGATTGATGCTGTCACCATTTTCACTTCGTTGTTGATGACGACCTGCGGGTTTTCGCTCGTGTAGTGGATCTCGATGTCTGGGAGAGGGGAACGCCGGTCCACGGGAGCCTTTCCTTGGGCGGAATCCTGCACCGAGTCTGGTTGTAGAGTCATCATTTCGTCCACGATGAGAAACGACACCTTTAGGAGAGGTGGACAAAATGTAAATGGTGAGGTCTTTGTCTCTGTTATTCTGTAAAATATATGTAAAAAGTGGTAAGTAGTCATTAATAATGAAATATTTAGAGCATGATGGCGAGTGTTTAACTCGCCATCAAAAGTCTGAAAATTTGCCGCAAGAAGTTTGGTATTGTTACCCCTTAAAACTTTGTTTTATGTTTTCTATGACCGGGAATGTCGGATTTTTCACTACAAAATAAACACTTCTACACATACCAGCGGAAGAAGCTCGTGTCAGTTTGTTTTCACTCGCCATATACAAATTTGTACTTTTGCTATGTTAAAGTGAAAGAGACAATGAAACGCTTCACTCAGGTGATGAGTTCAGAGGTCTAGTTGAATTCATAACCGTGGATGATATTGTGACGGCGCACAATCCCCTAATTACTAATTTCAGGTACTGGAGGAGGGCAGGGCAGGTAAGTAATAAGTTGGCAGAGGAACCCACAGTGCCAAGGGAGTCACATCCCCAAAGGACTCATTTGCCACGTCCTCATCTGCCTCACCTACTGCCTCCAGTTTTGCAGGGATTCAGCAGCTACTGTCTACATATTACAGAGAACTAGAATAAAGAAAGAAAACCCAAGAAAAAGCTTATTTTTTTGGTAGTGGCCCCAACTTCCAAGTTTTTTTTTTTTTTTTTTTTTTTTTTAAGGCAGTCATGTCGGTAGTGGCCTACATGGAAATGATTTCAAAGAAACGTTTGCTGCAACTATTTACTTTAGCAAAGGAATTGTGTGTAGTGTGGAAGTCTTTCTCTGAGTTGCACCTGAAGACTCAGTGTAGATACTAACTTAAAAGTGAAACATAAGCAGCGTAAATAAGTATTGCAGGATGATGAGTATGCTTAGGCTGGTAATGAGCGGCGATGTGCAAAAAAAGTTCATATCTAAGGGTAATGGTTGTGTAAAATACAAACTTAATCCTCCCTTAAGAGAATAAAATCAAATCCGTAGAACTGAGAAACTTGATGATATTCTTGAAGAAAAAAAAATCACAAAGGAAAGAAACACCAAACTCGAATTTAAAATTTAAACAAACTTCCCGTTACCACCCCCCCCAATAAAAAAAAAAAATAAAAATAAAAATAAAAGATAATATTAAATAAATAGAATAAATAGATAAAAATAGATTAAAAAAACAATAAAAAACGCAAGAAAAACAAGCAAACCTCAAGATGTCGATCAAGAAACTCAATGATATCAAAGTCATCGTCGTCCTCGCCAA